TTTTTTTTTAACTCGAAGGCCCCTACTGTTTGTTTTTGTTACGTGTGTGGTCCCTATCTTACCTAAAAAGATTATTTTTGTCCTTGATTTTATTTAATTTATTTAAATAAACAGACTCCTAACCCCACCCCTCACCTTACCTTACCTATCGTATCATTTTTTCCTATTTAAATAATAGTCTTTTTAGATGAGGCAGAGACCAAGTGCATAATAAAAACAAACAGTGAGGACTAAGCACATAACAAAAACAAACTGTAAGGACCTCCCGAGTTAAAAAAATAAGTTAGGGATCAAGTGCGCAAATTACCCGAAACTAGGAACCATTCGTGTAATTTACTCTAATATGTATAAATAGTTAATGATTTATTATTTAATACACACATGTAATTATTAATATATATATATATATATATATATATATATATATATATATATCTTAGATTTTTAGTAATTATTCACGAAGTTAGACCATTATATATTTTTTAGTTTTTGTGTATTTACATATATTAATTTTATTATATATTTCAATCAACTTATGATTTTAATTTATGATTTTGACATATATAATTTTCCTAAAAATAGTTTTACATGAATTACCGAATCCGAATACTTTCCGGTACTCTCGAGTACTCACTACTCAGTAATCGGCCGTACAGAATAACGAGTTCTACAACTTTGATGTGGTTATCAATTTCAAATAACGTTTATTTGGATGAAGTGATAAATAGTAGTTCAGGGATTGCAAAACCATTTTACAACAATGATTAGTTCATTAAAGAATGAAGAGTAATCCGTACAAAAATAATAATATGCATTCGTCTTTTGAATGATAATAACATTTTACTATATGTATCAATCATTGATTTTTATCTTTAGGATAAATAGTAGGAATAGGAGCATATATTTAAAATAGGGTAGGAATCCGATATGGATTACAATAGTAGTCCTTCATCTCCTTTATCTTTATTCATGTTGCTTTTGCTTTGTTTGAACAGCAGGTAGAGAGGGAAATGACCCTATTTATCGGGCAGCTGTTCTGGTCAGTTGACCAACAAGTTTTCATTCTTTCGATTCCATTGCTGCCCTGCCCCACCACCATTCCGGGCCGGCCCTTGGGTTTTGAAAGAAAAGTCGTAATCGTCTCGATAAAGAAAAAGACCACTGAGACATGAGTGCACTTTATTCCGTTCAAAACCGATACAGCCTCTGCTGCAGACAACGAGGGTCTGTCTGGAGCAGAAAGACAAACGCACCCTCTTTACCTTCTCTCTTCGATTTTTGTCTCTCTTCTTACACTTTAATCTTTGCGACATTGCCCTGTTCTTAAAGAAACCTCAGAATCAATCTAATCTCACTTACAATCATCTTTCTTTAACTAATCTCTCTGGGTTTCTGTCTTTCGTCTTCTACTACCGGAAATTCGATCAACATTGTTGATAGGATAGCTGTTTGTGTTCTTGGTGCTTTCGAGTAGACTACAGTCGTATGAAGTGGTAGCAAGGAAGAATGATAGATGAAAATGCCAAAAAGGGCAAGGTCTTATTTTGTTTTCCCAACTCACTCTCGCACTTCTTTACGTCGTTGTCCTTTCAGGATGATTTACCAAATGATGATTTGTTTTTCTCTTTGATACAGTTCTCTTGGTCAAAGTCATTGGTTCGAAAGTGGTTCAGTATCAAGAGCAAATCCGAGGAATTTCAGACCGATAAAGGTGTTTATGGAGGTGGGTATCTGCTGAATCTTCATTTCCGGCTCTCAAGTTACAAGATGGTGCTATATTATTGGTTTAATACACATACAGTCAAACGTCATCAATTTTGTTTTCTTCTGCCCACCAACTGTTTGTGTTTTAGTCTCATCGAGATTTCATCTTTGTCAAATTTATAATTTAAGCATCGTCCTGTGTAAAACTATAGGTGGTGATGGCGAATGGAGGAATACTTTTTCTCAACGGGAGCCACCAGCTATCAAGAAAACTAAAACTGGTACCCACTCTGAACCATAAATGATAAAACCATCAAATTAATTTAATCTCAAACTATATTTCTGTGATTGATTTATTTCCACAATTGACATGTATGTACAGAGAAATCAAGCAAGAGTACTGAGCGTCCCAGGCGGAGTAGAGTTTATCTTGATCACCCTCAGATTATAAACGTTCATAACTACAGGTTTGTCTGGTCCTTCTGCTTAAAAAAAATAGTTTAACATTATTTTGATTCCTGAATGATAAAGTAACAATAATTATTGTGTTCAATTTCTGTCCAGTATTTTTGCAGCTACATGGAATGTCGGTGGAAAATCCCCTTCTAGTAATATGAATCTTGATGACTGGTTACATGCTGCTCCACCTGCAGATATTTATGTCCTTGGGTATGTCATCTTTTTATTTGTTTTCCTACGCTTGTGGTCCAAGCAGTCTGTTGTGTACCTGATTGGGCTGGTTGTTTATCGGGTTCTTTACGTCAGCTAAACAACAGACTTTTGTGTACCTGATTTACATTTGAATTGACATTTTGATAATATATGGTTTCAGATTTCAAGAAGTAGTCCCCTTGAATGCGGCTAATATTCTCGGAGCGGAAGACAACGGCCCTGCAAAAAAATGGCTAACCCTAATACGTAGGACACTGAACAATCGGCCGGGTACAAGTGGTGGAAGTGGTTGCTACACTCCTTCACCGATCCCCGATCCAGTCGCTGAATACGATGCTGATTTCGAAGGCTCGTCAAGACAAAAAACATCTTCTTTATTTCACCGAAAGTCATTTCAAGCACCTCGAAGCTGGAGAACCGAAAACGACTCGTCGATGCCACAAGCGCGGCTCGATAGGCGATACAGTGTTTGTGATCGGGCCATCTTTGGTCATCGGCCTAGTGACTATTCTTCAAGTCATAGACCAAGTGATTATTCCTCTTCGGGTGGTCATAGGCCAAGTGACTATTCCTCTAGTCGGAGGCCTAGTGATTATAGGCCAAGTGATTATAGGCCGAGTGACTATTCGTCTGGGAATCGGCCTAGTGATTACTCATCGTGGGGTCAAAGACCGAGTGATTGTTCAAGGTGGGGCTCATCGGATGATGATTATGGACCCATGGAAGATTCACCCACCACAAATTCTTTCTCACCTGCTTCAGTCATGGAAGATGGATCTAGGTGGCCTAGCCACTCTAGGTATTGTTTGGTTGCTAGTAAACAAATGGTTGGTGTTTTTCTCACTGTTTGGGTGAAGAATGATTTGAGGGAGCACATTCGGAACATGAAAGTGTCTTGTGTTGGTAGAGGATTGATGGGGTACCTTGGGAATAAGGTAAATACTTACCCGGATTTGCTAGACACTCTCCCATCTGTCTGTATATATGTTGGAAAAAACAGTTAAATAAGAGATATTGTATGTATATTAAGAAAACATTTCCTTGGTTTTGCAGGGATCTGTTTCTGTGAGTATGTTGTTGCATCAAACAAGCTTTTGCTTTGTATGTAGTCATTTGACTTCCGGACAGAAGGAAGGTGATGAGCTAAGAAGGAACTCTGATTTTATGGAAATCATTAAGAAAACAAGGTTTCCACGTGTTCAAGGCACACATGATGACAAATCCCCAGAAACGATAGTGGAACACGAGTAAGATTAATTGCCGGTTTTGTTAACTTAATCCTACGTTAAACCAAATTGCATAAATGATGGTATATAGCATTTTTTTGGTCTGATTATATGATCTTTTGTTCATTGATCTAGTCGAATTATCTGGCTCGGGGATCTCAATTACCGAATTGCCCTCTCTTATCGGTCAGCTAAGGCGCTTGTTGAGATGCAAAACTGGAGAGCATTGCTGGAGAAAGATCAGGTATACCATTTACTTTCAAGATAAATTTATCCAGTGACAAACAGCATTTTCTTGGGCTAAATATTTTTTTTTCTTTGAAAAGCTGCGGATCGAGCAAAGAAGGGGCCGTGTATTCCAGGGATGGAACGAAGGGAAAATCTACTTTCCACCAACGTATAAATACCTAACTAACTCAGACAGATATACCGGGGATAGTTTGCACCATAAGGAGAAAAGACGAACGCCTGCATGGTAACATTCATATTCACTAGTATGAAATATATATATATATATATATATATATATATATATATATATATATATATAATTAAAATAGAGAGAAAACACTTTTTTTTTTTTTTTTTTTTTTTTTTTTTTTTTTTTTTAAATCTATTGTAATATTTGCAGGTGTGATAGGATTTTATGGTATGGGGGAGGTCTTCATCAATTATCATATGTGCGTGGTGAATCTAGGTTTTCGGATCATAGACCAGTTTACAGCTTATTCTGGGCTGAAGTTGAATCGGTTCAAAGCCGTTTTCGAAGAAGCATGAGCTACTCCAGCTCTAGAATTGATGGGGAAACCATTTTGCCATATTCCCATGGCTATACAGAACTCTGCTTCTTCTGACAACAAACACTACAGTCTCAACATCTACAGTGTGTGAAAGTTTAGATTCCAATATAGATTTGGCTTCTTGTGACAAGAATCACTACTGGGCTTTTATGCCAACTAACTACTTTCCTTGTGGCTGTGAACCTGATTTATATCTTACAAGATGCTAAGAGAGGTTGCTTGAAGAATTACTATTGAAAAAGGTATAAAAAGAACATTAAATGGACCAAAACCCGTTATTAAAAAAATACTCCTCACATCTGGTTTTATCCTTTGCTAACAAACCAGACCCATTTGCAGTTGGATGGAATGGTCAAAGATGGGAAAGATGAAGATTATTTTATTCAAGATTCTTTACTGTGAGGAAATGTGAATGATAGATGTTCAAAATAACAATTCTTGCTTTTGTAGGTTTTTTCTTTATTAAATTATATAGAAAATCAAAGGACTGAATTAGGAATATGATCAATGTATACTCCAATCACCGAAAGAATATGCAGTAAATATTAAATCTTATTCATTACTGGAAAAGTTGGTCTCACGTCTACTGTTATTGTCTGCTTTTGCTTTTTCTGTGGGAGATGGGAAAGCAGGAATTCATACAAAAAGAGACATTATCTGGGGCATGCCAGGTAAATTGGGTGGGAAGCGATATCACATTTTATATATATATATATATATATATATATATATATATATATATATATATATATATATATATATATATATATATATATATATATATATATATATATATAGGTTCAGGTTCATTTGAGACCATTCTAATTTTGTGAGACCGTGAGATCAAATCTAAAAATAATTTTAAAATGCAAAATAAATGGAAAAATCCAAAAATTCTTTTTTTAAATATTATTTTCGGAACTTGAATTAACTAAAAAAAATAAAAAAAATTCCTTTTTTTTTTTTTTAAAAATACGTGAAATATTCTAAATAGAATATTACACTGAAATATTCTAAAAAATAATTTTAAAATGCAAAATAAATGGAAAAATCTAAAAATTCTTTTTTTAAATATTATTTTCGGAACTTGAATTAACTAAAAAAAATAAAAAAAAAATTCTATTTTTTTTTGAAAAATACGTGAAATATTGTAAATAGAATATTACACTGTACATATTCTAAAAATAATTTTAAAATGCAAAATAAATGGAAAAATCAAAAAATTCTTTTTTTAAATATTATTTTCGGAACATGAATTAACTAAAAAAAAATAAATAAAAAAAATAAAAAAATGCGTCTCACGGTCTCACAAGTCTCACAAAATATAGGTGGTCTCAAATGAACCTAACCTTATATATATATATATATATATATATATATATATATATATATATATATATATATATATATATATATATATGTTTCTAACAACTATTGTATGTATGTATGCACCGATGAGAATTGAGAAAATAATAAATAATTAAATAAATCAATTAAGGGTATTATCGTAATCTTTGCATGTTTAATTATGGTAATTCATTAACTTTCTAAAACCTAGTTTTCTCCCTTCTTTATCTTCAAACATTTGGCCTCAAAAATCTGTAACCTAATCTCAAAATCATCGACCATCCTCAATCCTTATCGTCTCCAGCCTTATTTGACGAATACTCTTCTTCTCTTTCACTGATTCTCGCTTTGTTCAAAACTCTACCACTCTTTATCAGCAAATATTGCGTACATTTTTTTATCAAGAGATAAGCACATGGATCGGGACTGAATGTCACATAGATCAAGATACAAGCTTTGCACACCGTTCATCTAATGACTCGATCAACGGATTGCCTTCATAGCCGACTAGTATCATCCTCATGGATTCAAATTATGAACAAATCTAAAAACCCTAACGTAGGTCACATCGCCTCCATGATTTGATGTGATCCTTTGTCAATCTTATTCTTCAGTAAGTATTGACTATGTCAAAGAAATTAAAATTCTCATGGCTACAAGCTTCAACCAAATATCATCTTTTTTTTACCATTCAATGGTCTTTGGTCCAAAATCGTAGTACCAGGTAAATTTTTTGAAAAGAACAACTTAATTTTTTAATTTTTGTTCGTCTTTGCATTTGAAAAAGTCTAAATTGGTGTTCATATTTCTAAATCGATATTGCAAATGTGTGTTTGTTTCTTGAATTCATGACTGGGAATGGATGCAGATGTGTGTTGATGATTCAATCACAACTCTTGAATTCTGTATTCAATCATAACTCTTGAGTTCTGTATTCAATCACAACTTTGAATTCTATAATGTATTCCATTAGAATTTATTTATATAAATGTATTATGTTAGAATGTTTGAGAATAATTGTTAACAACAAGTATATTTGTTTAACCGATAATGAATTTGTGATACTTCATGGTTGACTTTATAGTCTCTACTATATTATGTCAGAATTTATAGTTTTTATTTTCTACTATATTATGTCAAACTTTATAGTCTTTAATACATTTTGTCAGAATTTATAGTTTTTATTCTCTTAGAATGCATTAAATTTTTTAATTTTTGAAACTTGATTATGTTTTCTTTGTGGATTTAGGTTTTGAAGAGGCTAACATTGATGTGGAGAAGGAAAGAAATATAGAGAACGAGGGTGTATTATATCAGAATGTGATATGCTACAATGTATAAAGTGTTGCTTAAAAATAATATTCTCTCATAATAGATTAGTGTTTTTGTTAGATTTTGATGTTTTTATTTCTTTTTTCTTTCAAAATGTTGTTATTATTCAATGAATCACAATCATACAATGTAATTATTTTGTATATTATTAGTTCAAGAATTGATTTTGTGTAGTCTTTTCAAAATGTATTTACTAGTTTATGGTTAGCATTCTGTCATTCTGGTAGAATGAAATCGAAAAATATATTTACTAGTTTATGGTTAACATTCTATCATTCTGACATAATAAAATCGGATTTTTAATTTTGAATTAATTTAAAATATTCAGATTTTTATAAATAAAGGAATTAATTATCGCTAAAAATCCAAAATTTTCCTTTTTTAATATAGGTTAATTGACTAAAATGCCCTTATACTGAAATTTGTGTGATTATATGGTACATGTTATCCTATTGTACTATCATAGACCATCAGATCATGGCATTTGATTATATTTCATCCAATGGTCCAGATCTGTGCATTCTGACACACACACACACACACATATATATATATATATATATATATATATATATATATATATATATATATATATATATATATATATATATATATATATATATATAGAAAGAGAGAGAGTGAGCTAGGATCATATAAAACCATCAAATATTGTATGAATGTATGACCAATTATAGACAAATCATTATATAAAGATATAATAATAACTTTAACAATAAATAATTATGGTAAATAAATGAATCAATTAATAAGCCATTAAAATAGGCATACTTGGATGAAACGTTATAAAAAAATAGATAATAAATAAATATATAGTGTATAAGGGAAATAGTCAAAGATAAACAAATTCTTATGAAAGCGTATAACCATTTTGAGCCATAAGATGGTCAATCAGGGATAAACGTACAAATTTATAACACAAAAAGTTGTTAGTTTAACGATTTGTATATTCACTTTTAAAACATTGATCAAAGGTAAAATTAAATATCAAAAATGACCAAATAAATGGGTATCACTATCACCATTTTGTTAGTGATCTTAAAATGATTATAAATTTTGCATTAAGCACCATTATAAATGCAAAATCATTATTCGACAAAAAACCTTCAAAAAACAGGAGATATAAGAAAAATCATATACTTTTTAAAACTAATTTGTTGATTTTACCCTCCAATAATTTACAAGTCTAATATGTCATTGTATAATTTCACCATATATATAATCATTTTATATATTTAAGATCATATATAGATGTATTTGTGTTGACTGAATAAAAAAACAAAGCAATAATTTGTAGCTTTATGACCGAATTACGTTTTATGTCCTCATTTATACAATTTTTTTAGAATGTTCATTCTTTAATATCTTCATTCCTACAAAAAAAAAAAAAAAAGGTTGACTTCAAGTAAGCTCAATCTTTTAGAATTTTAGTTGTTTCATAATGACCAATCTAGATTTATGAAGTGTATAATTGGAAATGTAGTTTTTTTTTTGTATTATAATTTTTTTCTTATTAAAAATATATAGTCTTGGTACCAAATGTTGTAACTTTTTTCTTTCTTGTTTATAAGAGAAAAATAAAAATTTTAATTGAATAATTTATTGGTTAACGTGAAAAGGTAAAGATAAAGACATGGAAAAACATCAAAAACAAATAAAATTTCTTCAAGAACAATTACATATTCTTAAGAAATAGCAGTATATAGTATAAATATTGTGTGTATTCTTTAAGAATGATTATAGATTCTTAAAGAATATTAGTTGATATTATAAATTGTGCATATTCTTTAAGAATGATTACATATTCCTAAAGAATACAATATATAAGTTGGTGTATATTTCTTAAAAATATTGTAATATTTTTTATTTATGTTATAAAAAAAAATGTTATTTTATGTTATAAGAATAATTCTTTTTTTAATTATATATATTTTCTTAAAGAATTTTAATTGTAAAAAAATCTTAGAATGAAATTGTATTCTTTAAGAATGAAAGATTGAAAATATATGTTCATATATGTTTCGTTTCGTCGTATTCTAAAAACATCTTTTATTTGAATGTATTAAATAAAATATAATATTTGATTTGATCTTTATTAATTAATTTGACTTAATTAGTTGCCTAATATATAAGTAATTTTTATTTCTCTCTCTTCATAAAATTTAATATTTTCCTTTATAATTAATTAAGTGTAATTATAGAGTAAATGTTAGTCCATTAGAACATGTATCCTAATATCATATCCTTTCATTTTTTTTTTAATCTACAGGCTAGAACTTAGTCACACAAGTCACACATTCATACAATACTTCTGATTCATATTTAATCCTATATATATATATATATATATATATATATATATATATATATATATATATATATATATATATAGGTTCATATGTGGATAAAGATTTATTGTATGGATGTAGGAACCAATAGAAATTTAAGAATACTTAAATAATTAATAAAACTTATAAGGGTAAATATGTAATATTACATACAATATGTATGGTATTTCCCTTAAATCGTGGATTAGGATCTCCATAAATAATTCCATCATTCACCTTCTATAACCCTAATATGGCCGATTCCTATACCACCACCACCAGTCATCTCCATTATTATTTTTTTGTCGATCTTGTACATCAACGTCAATTTCAAGAAGGACACATCAGTTAATTGTTTGAAGAAATGAATACCAAAATACTGAAGGTACTTTTTCTTGTTCTTCTAAATAATATGAGTTGTTGGGGGATCGATCGTATCATGTGAAAGTATTATGTGATTGATCAAATGCTTCTTATTGTTGGATTAGTATCTAAGTCCATAACTATTTTGGTATGTACTTGACCCGATTGTGAGCATGGTCCTTTTGCGTTGTCTTCACCAAAGCAACTTGATAGGATGATTTATGGTGAAAGAGTTTAATTATGATTTATTAATATATTATGTGAATAATATATTAAAATAGAAATCATATTATTTAATTAATATTAGTCAAGAATTAATTTTGTGGCTAAAAGAGATTAATTAAACTTGGGGGACTAATATTATAATTATAAGATAATTGCATTGTGGGCTATGGATTCCTATTGGAAAGAGGATTGGACGAAATCTATGGGAAGCCCGTATGGATTTCGCCCAAGGGCTTTCTAAAGGGACTTCATGAGTTGCTTAAGGCCTAAGTAGAGAATTAGGGTTGCCCCTCAAAACCCTAGCAGCCCACACAAGTATAAAAGGAACCCTAGGGCACCCAAAAACGTGGCTAAGCATTCCTTGGAGTTTCTTGGATGTTTTTGGTGCCTCATTCTTCTCTCCTAAGCCTCCCTCTTGCTCTTGGTGTTTGTGAGCCATTAGAGTTGTGGCACTTGTAACACTAAGCTTTCAGAAGTGAAAGAAGGAATAGATTGTTATTGCTACATAACAAATCAAAGGTAAGATCTAAACCCTAATTCATATGTTAAATCGTTTATTGTATGCTAGATCTAGGGTTTATGGTTTTGGATGATTATTGCATGTTCATTAAACAAACTAGATCCAAAGCTTTAGGGTTTGCATGTACATCATAGGATTAATGTAGTGCTCAAAACCCATCAATTACATCCACTAATGATTTATTTATTGTTTTTATATTTTTTTTATCGTTCATTCATATTCGGTGGTTACTTTATTGTTTACCTTTTTAACTTTTTTATTATTTACGAAAATAGGTTATAAGTCTTTGTGAATTGTTTATTGTTTGGTAAAGTACGAATGTTGTTTAAAAGGATTTCATATTATGAAGTATCAGTTCAAAAGTTATCTAGTTCAATCGCAAGTTTTGTGTAATTATGATTGGATAATACTTGTATTTACACCAACCTTCACAAAGAGAACTGTTGTGATTCAACATTTTACTCTTAAATTTTTTTTTTCATTTTTTTTATTTCAATAAACATAAATTATTTTTGAGTTTAACATAGATCTAAAGCATGTTCAGTTTTGATTATTGCAATATTCAATTTCACAAGTTTATCGTTTCATTTTCATTTTTATAACTTTGATTAAAAAGTATTGGTTTTGACATTTAATTAAGTGACTTTAGAATTTTAATTCGGTTTTAGGTTTTGATTAAGAAATATTCATTCTAACATTATCACATTCTAATAGAATTTCATTCTCATTGTAATACTTTTTACAATCTTTCACAATTTTAGGGTTCAATAGCAGCATTCTTTCAGAATCGTGGGGTTATCTTATAAAAGCAGCAACATTCAAGGAGGAATCTAGCAGAATGCATTCTCAAAATTTATATTTGTTTTGTATTGTCAATAATTGCATTCATTTTCTTAAGAATGATTGATATCATTCAGAGAATGAATGAAATTTAGTTTTATTCTTTAAGAATATATTTGTATTTTTCATGTTTGATGTAATTAATTTAAGAACATGTATTGTTTTTTGCAAGAATGAATATTTTGTTTGCCTTTTTTTATCAATTTCCTAACCTTCTTCCTTCAGTATAAAAAATAAATGAATCAAATTCTTAAAGAATAAATTAAGGTGTCATTCTAAAAGAATAAATATTTTTTTTGAAAAACACATTGTTTGGAGACTACATATATATATATATATATATATATATATATATATATATATATATATATATATATATATATATATCGGATAAACGGACAATATATTGTGCCGCAACCCCTTTTTTGATAGCAAAACTAATTTTTTGAAAACCACATTGTTTGGAAGTAAAGCGGATAACTAGCAAAACCAAAAGCACATAAGACACAATATTTACGTGGTTCGGTCAAGGTGACCTACATCGACGGGCAGGAGGGGAGTATTCTTTATTTCAGAGCTCTCAACACAGAGGTTACAAGTACAATTACACAGAGATTCGCCTATCACTCTAGAATTCAAGATATTAAATGACCTAACATGCATCCCTAT